AAAAGGCATTAGAATTATCAATATTTGCTATTAAGCTCTACATACTAAATTTTAACAGTATGTGTCTATTAGTGGTTTTTCACTTTTTTTAGGTCAGGCGTTTCTTTTGCAATCTCTAGACCATCCTCCCCCAAATATATTAGGTTTATTTATATAAAATTACCATTTTCATGGGTCAGAAATAATTGAAATTTCTTATTCAACTTAATATATTTAAATTTTCTGTAAATTACCAAGAGGTTCACAGACTTCCTGCAATCCTTCATGATCTGTGGTCCCCAGGTTAAGATTCTCTGCTCTATAGTTACGGCACCATTAACTAGACCTATTGTAAAACATTGTTGACAGTGAAGGGAAAAAAATAAGAGAATTCTAAGTAAAGCAGGGAATTTGGGAGAATTTTGAAAGTAACTACAAACTTTCTGTTGGTAGGTAAGAAGTGCAAATTATGAAACAGATCCATTCGTTCAGGAGTTTCAATTTAAAGTTCGGGATGAAATGGCCCATGTAACCGGACGTGTACTTCCAGCACCTATGCTCCAGTATGGAGGACGGGTAAAACCTCTGATAATTTTTTTTTCAAACTTTATTGGGGAACAATGTGTTTTTTCGGGGAACAATGTGTTTTTTCCAGGACCCTTCAGCTCCAAGTCGGTTGTCTTTCAATCTTAGCTGTGGGCAGCGCTTCTCAGCTCCAAGCCCAGTCACCGTTTTCAATCTAGTTGCAGGGGGTGCAGCCCACCATCCCATGTGGGAGTTGAACTGGCAACTTTGTTGTTAAGAGCATGTACTCTAACTGAGCAGCTCAGCGGCAGCTCAGCTCAAGTCGTTGTCTTCAATGTAGTTGTGGGGGGCGCAGCTCACTGGCCCATGTGGGAATCGAACTGGCAACCCTGTTGCTCAGAGTACACACTCTAACCAACTGAGCCACCCGGCCACCCCTCTGATAATTTTTAAAATTATAAACATACAGTTTCTATGTATGGAAAGAGGGGCATCTAGCTAAGCCTGGAATTTAGAAAATGTTTTATTATTGTTCCAACAATATTTTTTTTTGTTTCAAGGTGTCTTTGCTTGAGTTTAGTAGAATTTTTGTTTTTCTATGATAAAAATATAAGTAATATTGATTGAGAACAACCTATTCCATGTAGATCGATATAGTTATTTATCAGCTTACTAAAATAAACTGTATGTTAAGTGTTTGTTCTTTTTTTTGCCATATTCCTTTTTCTCCTTTTTCTATAGAATCGTACAGTAGCAACACCAAGCCATGGAGTGTGGGACATGCGAGGGAAACAGTTCCACACGGGAGTGGAAATCAAAATGTGGGCCATCGCTTGCTTTGCCACACAGAGGCAGTGCAGAGAAGAAATACTGAAGTAAGGCCTGTCATTAGTTTGGCTGTGGTATCTTTTTGTGTTTAAATTTGTATTGCGATTTTCAGTTACTCAGCTAATGTTCTAACCAGTGTTGCCTCAAATATGAAGTATATTTAATCACTGAACCTTTAAAATGATTTCTTCTCAATATTTTGTAGAAGATTCCTGAATCGGTTAGCCATAGTAAAGACACCGATTCATAATTCTAGGCGTCCTAATAGACTAGCTTATGTGGGATACAGCGGGAGCATCACTGGCTTTTGATGGCAAAAGGGTCAGGTATAATTCCCAACTCTGCCACTTCCGAGCTTTATCACTGTGGATAGTTTGTTTAATCTCATTATGTTTCAGTTTTCACTTTTTAAAAATAGAAATAATAGTACCTATTTGCTGGGTGAAAATTAAATAAGATCCTTATTTCTCAATTGAGTTCCTTGAAAGAGTGGTTTAACTCATTGCTACTTCCTTCCTTTCCAAAATTTGCCCTGTAATCCACCACTTTCCCCCTTATCCAGATTCTTTCCCTCAATGTGTAAGTGCTTAATTATCTTCTGTTTATCTTCTGTTTAAATTTAAAATAAACAAACAAACAAGGAATCTTCAATTTTCAATTCACCTTACTTACTTTCTCAGGCTTCCAGTCTTCTATTCTCTCTCCTTCCTTGAAATCTTAGTGCTGTGCTGAAACTGGTTTCTGGAAGATCTCCATTATCTTTGTGCTAATCAATTCTAACGGTCTCTACTCAGCCATTATTTTTCTCAAAGTTGTGCAGCATTAGATTAATTGACTACCTTCCTGACATTCTCTTCGTTCTTGCCTTCCTGGTTCCTTTTTATCATGTGGGTTTCTTTTCTTTTCTATCTCCTCCCCTTTGGGACTGTCACATCTTTGGGGTTTTGGCAGTCTGGAGGGCTTCCACTGTCACCCTTGTTTGAGGAGCTATGCTATCATAAGAGAGTACCAGCTGCACCTGTGACTCCTCCCACTCAGAAACTTCTAGGCTTCTCTTTGACACAGAATAACATTAAAAATTAGTATGACATTTAAAAATCTTTCACCTGCCTCTTAAGTCCTTTCTTCCTTTTCACATATTCTGGACATGTGAAGCACTGTGTTCCCTATATCCCCTTGAATTTTTTCTGTTTCCACTCAATGTTGCTCCTTATTGAAAATGCCTTCTTCCTGTCTCTGCTCGTCTAAATACTACCCAATCTCCTGTGATTTGTGATGCTGGAAATAGTCTTTTTTAACTCTAAATATACCAGTTTATTAATATCCTTTCTATTTGCACTTCTCACTTTCTGTGTAAAATAGAATTATATTATAAGTATTTGTGCAAATTTCTTATCTCCCCTAGAATCTAATTTTCTTAAGAAAATGATTTTCTAATTTAAATCTCTGTTAATAGAGCCTATAAAGTTTGCCCACAATGAATAGTTCTTGAGTGATTTAGAGACCAATTTACCCAGAATTTGCCTTTCCTCCTTTTGTAAGAAATGAAGATTTTTTTCTATTTAATTCTGTTCACTCCTTTTTATTAGCACCAAATCTTTAAATGTATTAAGGTTCGCTTAATAATTTTTTTCTCCAAAGCTTTACCCCTTGCTTTCAAGTAAAATGTCATAAGGACAGTTTACTATAATGCTACAATTATCTTACTTGACCTTCAGAGACTAGAAGAAAAACCTCCAATTGTTTTTCAAGTTTATTCTTTTCCTTTTCCATTTGTTATTCATGGCTTGATAGAAGTCTCATAATCACTGGGCTTATGACTGAAAATATTCACCTTTATACTTCTTGAATTAAATGCTAATAAGACAAAGGAGTAGGGAATTCTTACAAACTTCATCTCTGTTCTAAGGGAATCAGTGTTTTTGATCAAAGATAACTCAAGTCCTTGATTTAGGACCTTATTTGTTTTAAAAACAAGTAAAGTGATTGTTAAACCTTGGCATTGTTACTCATCTATCCTAGCCTAAATGCAGAATTTTGTTTAAATATGAATTTTTAGTCTTCTGTTTTTTTTCAATGTGGATAAAATACATTAAGTGCTGCCTGCTCCGTTTGTTTTTAAATGTTGTTTTCATACTTTTTTTTCCCCCCTGAGGACACAGTCTTTCCTGCTATCCTAGTTTGAAATTACTATGGAAAGAAATTCTGGAGTAGGTCAGAGCTCTGACTCTGCCATTTACCTAACCATTTGACCTTGCCCAAATATTTAATGTGCCCAAAACTGTTTCCTGATCTATAAAATTGGAATAATACCTGACCTACCACTTTCTTATGAATCTTGTCATGATCAGATTAGAAAATGTACAATAGCTTAAATTTATCAAGCTCTTAACCATGTCTTGAGCAGTGTGCTAAGTCCTTTTACATGTATTATCTCATTTAATCATCATACCAACCCTATACTGGAAGTAATCATTTTACAAATGAGAGAAACTGAAAATTTTTGCTTAAAATTTCATAGCTAGTAAGTAACAGAACTAGGATTAGAACCTGTCATGCTGACTCTAGAGATGAGCTCTTACCCAGCACACTCTTTTACTAACACACTTAGTAAATTACAAAATGCACATAACTACAGAGGGTGCCAAAAAAATGTATACACATTTTAAGAAAGGAAAAAACTATATTAAAGTTGTAATACTCAATATACACTGATAACAAAAGATGAGTACAAGTCGTGTGTATACTTTTTTTTGGCACCCCTGATATATAGTAGTATTAGTTTGTACAATACATTACTGACCCACACACATTGCCCTTAACATCAGTAGTCTGGTGGCCTCTACATGGAGCACATAAATCTTTGCTTCATTCTCCATTCCTTTCCCAAACTTTCCATTACTACTTGGTAGGTGTTGACCCTAGACAAAGGTTTTATTTTTAATGATTTCTCCTTCTAGGGGCTTTACGGACCAGCTGCGAAAAATTTCTAAAGATGCAGGGATGCCCATCCAGGGCCAGCCTTGCTTCTGCAAATACGCGCAGGGGGCAGACAGCGTGGAGCCCATGTTCCGGCATCTCAAGAACACCTACTCTGGGCTGCAGCTCATTATCGTCATCCTGCCAGGGAAGACGCCAGTGTATGGTAAGGATATCTTAAGATTGCATTTTTCCTCCAGTACTTGATATTCCTTTTAGAATTATGCCAAAACATATCCTAAAACTTTCAAACATTAAAACGTATTTTATAGTTTACAGAATTTAAAACCATGTATTGTTACTTTAAAAAGACAAATCAGTAGAGCAAACTAAATGATCCAAGAAGAGACCCTGTGAAAAGAATTTTGGTAGAGTAGGCGTTACAAAACAATGGTTAAGGGTTTAATTATTATTCAAAATGCCACTGGGGCCGGC